TCCCAAAACCCCAAAACCCCAAAACCCCAATATCAAACATTTAATTTTAAGATCGGTTGAAGAATAAATATTATTATATTAAACTAAATGCTAATATTGCATATTTTAAAGCAATTTCTATATCAGTATTATATATTTGTTTGATGCTAGTATAAGTGAGAACTGTAAACTATTTGAAATAGGCTAGTTTCCTTCTTGATCTCATATATCGATTTATGATCTTTTAATATTTTAAGAGCAATAATTTGACCTTGTTTAGCTTCACTTCTTTAAAACTCTCTTTATTATAATTTTTAATTAGTACTGTTTGTTTGAGTACCATACTATTAACAATTTAAACCAAATGAAAGCCAGAAGCTAAAATCATTTTGGTGATTTGATTTTCTTGAAATCTCCGCAACACATTTCAAAAGATTTATGAATTATGATATATCACTCAAGATAAGTAGGGATTTTATTAGAACAATGACTTATTTTGATTGATAATGATAAATAAAAAATTTTAATATTATTCAAGCTTGATTAAGCTGAAGAATTTTATCAGCCATTTTCAATTATATAAGGAAAAATTGGTTTCTATATACTTGATCATATACCAGATTTTCAATTATTTGAAAAGTCAAACATTCTTAACAATCACTTTATGGCTTGAATCATGATTTTAAATATGCTGATACTGTGATAGAAGTTCTTATTGTCAAATATACCTATCTCATATTCGAAAAAATTTGGTATTTAAGTCTTAATAAGAGTAAGTTTATAATCATTAAAATAAATTTCAGACACTCCATAACAATGAACGCAGTACACATTTTACAATCAAAGATGATGCAAATGTTCCTTTTTATCACAGTCCTGTTCACTTATATTAATGCTCAGAACGATTTCCTCTTTGCCAAACGTCAATTAGCCAAGCCAGAAGAGGGAAGAGCTTTATAGGAAACTGGAGACATTGTACCAAGTGATGATGAAGTATTAAATTCAGAAGAAGATGAGCAAATACCAACTCCAGCACCACCTATGAATAGACTTCGTCCACTCTGATCAGTTGATACCCCTATCACTTGTGGAGAATTATCATTTATTGTTCTAAATATTTTTTCAACAATGATCTATTCTTTTTATACTTTAAATTTCTAACTATTTTACTATATGTCATTCTTATCTATCATAAATGCTACAATTTATCTATTCGGGGTTTTGGGGTTTTGGGGTTTTGGGGTTTTGGGG